TGACGCAAGAGAAAAGTTCTGCATGTTAGTATTGGCAATCATGTCACAAAGTGGGCACAATGGTGCCACTGTGCTTGATTGTCATTCTCTGTACGCAGCGCGACCCATTCCTAGTCTGTCGCAATTGCTACGCCACTGCAGGATATATATACAACTATATATAGTATAGGACAATTACAACATATTTATAATACAATATATAGTTATAATCTATAATTATAACAAGGTCTCTTGTATCGCTTTCAGAAGGCTATGTCTCTTGATTAGAACACTATATATGTATATATATACATGTTATAGTAATACACTGCTGACTTGCAAGGCCGCACGTTGCCATTAGAGTCACCCGCTCTTGAACTCTGTGTTTCTGTTTTTTGATGCTGTGGCGCTATGCTCGGTGTGTATCTGTAATAGGTTGTATTTTAGGAGGCTATGTATGATATCTGATTTCTATTAAAGGCAACTGACACTTCTTTAGTGAGGCACTTTCGTCATTCGTGTCAGCCACGTTCCTTTTGCGACTTGCAGTCGAGGACAGCAATAAACACTGCCCACGGCCCCACGTCCGTTGCAGCACTTCACTCTCTTACAGCGAAGTATACAACCCACTGCAATACACCATAGACTATATACCACTACAATACACCATAGAGTGTACACCACTACAATACACCTTGGACGTGAATGCAAAATTTAGTGTCTCCTCTTCTGTTAGGCGAAACTCATTTTATTACAATTACAGTACAGCACTGCTGTATGCGCATACTATTCACTTATACGTAGCAATAAAACTTCCACAAACTATTGAATGAGCATCACTGATATAATAAGAAAAGATGGCGACCATACATTATGCTAGCATAAATAGAGATCTGGACCGTGTCCGAAGATACCTCGAACAAGGAGTAGATGTCACCGATACCACCGGTCTAGTAAGTTATGAGTTCAGTCAACAATTTCAACTTGTGCAGATACTACCCTGCTGTGCAACCTGAGCATGGATATAAATAGCTATAAATTAACAATTCTCACAAGAAAAGTCATATAAGTACATGACTTGCAGACTTCGCTGAAACAACAGCCTACTGTGACTGTAATATCAGTTTCAACATTCGCGGGTGCCGAATCAGAGCATGCATACCTACCTGTAGTATACTGCCGGCAAGCTGGACACGCACAATACTTGGCACAGGTTTAGAAGCATATGCACAGGCTGCGCAGGAGTGTAGGAGGTGAGACAATCTCATGAGTTCCTATAAGAGCACCGCAGAGAGTCTGTAAGACTATCTGCTGCATACCGCAGGTGTATGCTCGATAACTAATGTAAGCGAACTGCACGTAGTCATATATTCAAGTAGCTCGTGTAAATGCAATCAAATGGTAGAGACACCGTGCTTGTTGACAAGTGTGATTTGAGTACGATAGTACAGATCTCCTCCATGTGACACCCGAGGGATATCACTAGCAGCAGCATAAGAGAACCATGCACGTGATTGACAAACAAACAATCAACAAACAAACAGACCAATAAAAATAATGACGTACCAACGAAACAATAATTCACATACAAACGAACAAACAACAATCAATAGGCTAATGAACAATCAAACGAGCAAATTTATGGGCAAACAAGCGAACAAACAAACGAACAAACAACTGAACGAACACACTTACAAACCAACAAGCATACATACAAAACCACTTACAAACAAGCAACGGTATTAACGAAAAAATGATGCAGTTTATATACCATATAAATACGTACTACATACATATCGGTGACGCGAATATAATCAGAATTTTTGTTATACTGACTTTCATTGTATGCATCACTATGTAAGTGTGCTATGGCTACTGGGTAGACGCATCGACAGATTTAAACCAGACACGCTATGAGTTCGCAGAATTGACTCAGGCGTGTCAGCTCAGAACACAGTAAACATCTCATATACGTGAACATCAGAATTGTATACCATCGTGACAGACTGTACTCCCACCATGTACCCACACGTGTACACATCACGAGATACCACTCGCTGGGAAAAAATCTGGGAATGACACATTAAACCATACACACGGCGTATAATGTACTTCAAGACCGTTTACTTACGTTGTTATTGGCCTCCACGTTGGCATTCCTCTCCAAGAGCAGCTGCACCACTTCTTTGTGGTCACTAGCACAAGCATAGTGTAGTGGCGTCCATCCATCCTGACGGGGTGAACAATTAGACAGTCGTATACCCACCAGAGCACCCGACATCTCAAAAGATGATATGCGTACAGTTCGTATTACACAGACAGCGCGTGATATACCTACTAGGAACTTAGTTACAACTTCTCAGAATTGGTCTATAGCACAAACATATGACAGAATGCACAACTGCATACGATGTAGCAGTGATATGGTTTCCAAAGTGCACGACTGTTTGAATTTTACACTCCGTCAAGATGGGACGGCACTCTATTTGTCTTGTTATAATGGCTACAAAGAAGTGGGGCAGTTGTTTTTGGAGAGGAATGTCAATGTGGAGACCGAAGTAATCGTATGTACGAGGTCATGAATTATCACACATGCCGTGTGCATGGTTCTATGATTCATTGTCTAATTTTTCGATTGTCGTGAGTGTGCATGCGTTTGGGTACATGATGCGAGTATGCTAATGTTCAAATTGCCAGTTATCATCCAAGATTCATGAAAATCGTACAGAAAATTGGAGAGACACTCGTGCAGTTTATCGCCGACGCCGATGCCTGCTACCAACACACCACACACGTGCGACAGGCACGGCAGCAGACCATCGAACTGGTGACGCGGTGCTGTGCGGTGTTGCACGACATGGAGAACGGCTCAGCAGCCGAGGGCACGTGTGTTGACCTCGAGGGGGCGGATGTGGCGCTATAAACCTTCAACGCGCGTCGGCGGAGCATCGCTCGCACTTCCTGCGGACGTGTGCTAAGCTGGGTGCGTTGCGGGGTGTGCTCAACATAGTGCCCATGGTGGGAGTGTTCACAGAGAATGAGTGGGGCCGAGTGCGCATGCCGTACTACGCGAACGGCGACCTGTCCGCGTGAATAAACGCGCACCCGCAAAGAGACCCCGCGCCGTGTCCGCGCATGGTCCATCAGATTGCGTCGGCGGTTCTGGGTCTGCACGAGCTGGACATTGTGCCTTGTGACCTCAAACCCAGGAACATTTTCATAACGTTTACGTATGAGGTAATTTGTGTTGATTTTGAGATGTATTTTATATCATCCACGCATGAGACGCATTATGTTGAAGTTAGAGGTTTTTTTTAGTGTATCTAGATGTACATTAGAACATGTCGACCTGGTAGCCGACATAACTGTCTCCCATTGGGCTCATTCTCTTGAATGTTTGGCCCATTGAGGACACCGCTTCTGTGCTGTTCATGTGAATCAGTTTTGCACTACATCACTACACACAGCCTACATTCAACGCTACCTTGCACCTACCTCACCAATGTCGCTGCTGATGTTTCCTAGTGCCACTCGCACCGATATATTCTGCCAATACCTATGTCTTCTCAGTTCCACTGAATGTTTTGCGTTCGGTCAGTTGTCAAAAGTCGCCCTTGTTGTTAGCTAATTCACCCAACCATCGATAGTACACCGCCCCATATTGAACAATGCACTTCCACATAGGTCGATTGATCCAAGTTGTATACGACACGGTACTATCAACCACCCCTTCGTGTGCCCCGTGGTCTTTTATGTGCGGTATCAGATCGTGCACCGTGTATATTCTCCCTGGACATTATGTTATATGTCAGATTGATTGAAGTCATTATCAGAGGTATCCTTGTTTGCCTTGCTGGATGGCTGCGATGTGCCAGTTTATCATATGCTCTTGCTCAAAACATACTTGATTATATTTTACCCACATCTAAATGTTGTTTTACGTTACTGTGCAGGCGTTGCTGGGTGACTTTGACGACGTGCGCGACGCCAGGAGCACTCTGACATCGGCCGCGGGCACCACGCGGGAATACGCGGCCCCCGAGATCCGTTCTGAGAGTGTGAGCAAGTTCGAGAAGATTGCGGACGTGTACTCGCTGGAGCTTGTTCTGCGCGAGCTGCTCCATGGGCTGCGCGTCATGGGCATTTTTAACACCGTGACCGACGCCGGCTTTGCCAGTCTAATCCAACAAATGACAGCTGATAAGGCATCGGAGCGTCCTACACTGACGTATGTGCTAGCGATGCCCATCTTCAGTGAGCTGCACAGTGCGCGCCTGTGTGGGGGCTGTCTGGACACCTATGCGGCGGTGGACAGTCTCACGTGCAAGAACGGACACGTTGTGTGTAACGACTGTGTGGACAGGGCTTTGGCGAACGACATGAACAACACCAACCATGTCGCGCGCAACAATGGACTGCTGCCTTGCATCATGCAGGCGAGCGGCTGTGACGGCCTATGGGATTCCAAAGTATATGCACCGCATGTGACAAAGGCGACGTTCGACCAAGCAATGTGTCTGGTGAACAAACCTGAAATCCACGCGGAGGTGTTGGTAGAATTGAGGCGGGAGGCTGCCGAGGATCGCGAGTTCAATCACATCACTAACGAGATCCTACCACTGCGATGTCCGGCGATGAGACATGTGCTAGACGAGTCCTTTGACGCCTGCTTCGCCTTGACGTGCGACTCGTGTCCGCTAACCAACAACGAGTTCTGTGCGCTGTGTTAAAGAAGTTTCGGAAGAGACACATACTCACATGTGGTGCGATGTGCCCTCAACCCACGCCCAGGCGACGTCTACAACACCATAACAGTATTTCACGAGCTCAGACGGAAGGACCGCTCACAGAAATTGAGGGATTATTGGGCCACACTCCAGTTGGACGACGCTAGCAAAGAAAAGCTGGCAAAGCGTGTGCAGCCCCTACTGGACCAGTTGAAGCCTGAGGGCACGTACGACTCTGTTTCCAATATCGTAGCTTAGAATCCTGGACAATTTATCGACGACACATTCATCAATATATACACTGCTATTAATGTATACACATTCATAAACCAATAAATGGCATAGTGTTGGCAGCAAGTATCACATTTGAATCAAAACCAATATTGAAATAGGTGTTTGACGTGGCCTGCATCCCCGATTAGCACATCATCGAAGTTAGCGATAATTTCTCCTCATTTTGTTCAAGAGCAGTTTGTATCTCACTCTGTCCACCAGCTGTGGCTTGGCCATGTATCGGGCCGTCTGGCTTTATCTCTATTGCTCTGAGCTTTTTTCAGGCTACTGAGGATCGTCTGTGCAAGCGCAGTTTGCGGTTCCCCTATCCGCTAGTAGTCCTAATTAAATTCATCGAGTACTTTACCTCTGACAACCGCCATTACCCCTTGAAGGATTGCATGTTTCATCCATCACTACTGGTCCCAACAGCCTACCTACGAATCTTGGTCTGGCGATTGTGCTGATGACATACGCTTACTGGGAATTCCTCGTTGAAGATTGCTCAGCCACGCATCGGGCCTTCTGTGTAGATCAGTTGCCCTGAGCACTAAAAAGCTTTTGTGGGCGTCTATGCACGCGCCATTTATTACCGGTCTATTCAATGTCGTCATTGATTAATCCCTTGACACCCTACACTTGACAGATACTTTAGAGACCGTATTGTATTGTGTAGTTTCTTCGTTGTCATATATTATCTGTGAGTTCCAAATACGGGCAAATTTGTAACCATGTATATTCAAGGCCAGGAGAGACTTTGTGGTGACATAGACTGAAGCCCGAATAATTTAGGCCAACGAAGTGCAACGGTTATTACGATATTTATATGAAGGCGTCCTGACTACCGCTGAGTCCCCGCTACGTCACTGTCCGAATTTCAAGCACGTGGCTTGTCGCCTTCGGGTTCATGGCATTCCTGTTTTATGTTCGGATCAAGCCGATCCTCTTCACTAGACGCAAAGAACACTAGTCTAAACGGACTCCGATTGGATTCTACAGTTTGTACTTTGCTTTTCCATTGGGTCCCGCAACTGTATCTTGTTCACTATCCACACCGATTGTATTATTTAGCGCTAGTGGTTTATTAACTTCATTGCAGCAGTGAGGCTGTATAACTATTGCCGTACAGAACACGACGCACTGCTAGTGAGTGTTGGGGAGTGGTGCGATGTTGCTAAAGGACTACAGAGAGTGGCTCGTGCGGTGTCTGATTGCCAAAGCTGTTCGGCACTATACACTGCAACGCAACAGGCGACACAAGACACGACCCATGTGGGAGCCAACTGAGAGCAACATACGTT